TGTTTAAATCTAGTTACTTAGCTTTAGTCTTTAGTCTTTGGATTAGTCTATGTATTTAGACACTAATCTAGAGTATTAAATATAGACTACTTACAAAACTAATTATATAAATGAAAGCTAATTCATGAGATAAATTTTTTAAGCCTAATTAATCTATAATTAGAGAATATTTACTTTATCATCACATAAGCTAATCATGGATTAATTAAGCTCAATAGATTCGTCTCGCGAATTAGTCTAAGATTATAGATGGGTTTTATTAATAGCCTACGTTTAATATTTATAACTAGTGTCCAAACATCCGATGTGATAGGGACTTAAATGTTTTAGTCATATCTAAAAAGGTCTTAAGGGCAAGTAATATAAGGGGCTGTTTAGATGAGGCTAAAACTTTTTACTCCCCGTTATATCGGATGTTTGGACGCTAATTTGGAGTATTAAATATAGACTAATAAAAAACTAATTTCATAAATGAGAGCTAATCCGTGAGACGAATTTTTTAAGTCTAATTAATTCATAATTATCAAAAGTTTACTGTAGCATCACATTGTTAAATCATGGCGTAATTAGACTCAAAAGATTCGTCTCGCGAATTAGTCTAAGGTTATGGAATGGGTTTTATAATTAGTCTATATTTAATACTCCAAATTAGTGTCCAAACATCCGATGTGACGGGGACTTGGAATAAGTCCCTGTTTCCTAAATAGCCCCTAACGGCCCATTTGGTTGGAGGGAGTTTTTAGGAGGGAATGGGAGTTTACAGGGATAAGGCTATTAAGTGTTTTATTTGATTAGGAGACATGGGAATTTTGGTGGAATGGGGATGAGGAATTGAGGAAGGAACTCCCTCCTTTTCAATACCTCAATAGGGGCAGGTAATTGGGAGGGAATTCCTCCTTTACTTTGTCTAAGCAAATCTCAGCCATTCGTTTTTATTAATGATCTAATCTCTAACTAAACTCCCTAATAATTTCCATCACCTCTACCAAACAAGATATTGGGATTAAAAATCAAATTCCCATCTTAATCTCATCATCAATTCCCTTGTGTAAACTTCCAATCCCCTTACCTCGAGTTACCAAACAAGCCGTAAGGGCTTTTACAGTGTGTTTATGTGGCATTTAGTCTCAAGCTTACACATAGGAGATTCTCAGTCATGTCTGTGTTTCCCATGACCAAACCAAGAACGTGTGACCAAACTGAGGCCCTGTTTAGTTCGCGAAAAAGAAAATTTTTGGGTGTCACATCGGATGTTTGACCGGATATCAGAAGGGCTTTTCGGACACGAATGAAAAAAAAAATTTCATAACTCACCGTCATTAGCATATGTGGGTTACTGTAGCACTTATGGCTAATCATGTACTAATTAGGCTCAAAAGATTCGTCTCGCGATTTTCCCCCTAACTGTGCAATTAGTTTTTTCATTTATCTATATTTAATGCTTCATGCATGTGTCCAAAGATTCGATGTGATGTTTTTGGGAAAAATTTTTGGGGAACTAAACGGGGCCTGAGACACACGACGTTCTTCATCAACTTTTTGTCAGCGTCGTTAGGCACTCAAGCAAGCCCACATTCGAGGCTAACGCTGACCATGGCCATGGATGATATAGATGAGTCGGCGCCGATGCCGCTTCGGTGGAGAAGCGCCATTGATCTCGTCGTCCATCGTCCCTCGCTCCCACGCCGCCGACCTCGCCGTCCCCGCTCTCACGCCACCGGCCTCACCGCGGGGAATCGGGGGACGAGAGGAGGGGTGGATCAGGCCGCTTTTCAACTGCTCCCACTCTGCCGACCTCATCGTCCCCCACCGCCACTCCGCCCGGCACCGACGCCGACGCCGCTTGGGCCACCCCACCACTGCTCCGCTACGAGTTCGTCGCCGCTCAGTGAGTCGAGGTGGGGTTGGTGGAGGAAGGAGAGAGGGGGAGGGAGCCGCCTCCGCCGGTTGGGGATGAGATAGGTGTGGGGAGGGAGAGGAGGAGGCGAGAGAGTCGCCGCCTTGTGTCGCCGGAGACGAGCTCGCAAACCTGCACCATCGTTGGGGTGGGGGAGGGAGAGGAGGGAACATGGGGGAGTCGAGTTGCCGCCGTGCGCGTGGGAGCCGAGGGAGAGGAAGAGAGAGGGGGGAAGGAGAAGAAAAGGTGGTGGGGCCAGCCTGAAAAGAAAAGGTGGTGAGCCCACCTAAAGCTACAAGTACGCTGTGGAAAGGGGAGCTTCAACTGCTTTTCTTCCAATGTGGACATTTGGGCTCCTCTATAAGGCGGGACGCATTGCTACTGTCCTAATTCTCCATATGCTGCCCCTAAGAGTACCACATTGGATTGAGTGATGAGGTGGAGGAGAGAAGTAAGGAGAGAGATGATGATCCACTCCTCCACACAAACTTTAAAAAAGATGTGAGAGTATTAGATGTATTGGTATTTGTGTACTAGAGGTGACATATTGTAAGGGTTGCCTCTTAGTTTATAAGTGAATGATATGAATAAGGGCAAGTTTTATAGTAGGGCTATTGTCATATCTAATTTTATCTATGTAAGATAAGAGGTGATACATACAATACACCATATCTACACTACCTCTAACATAGTAACCCAAATGATATTTTATATTATTTGTTTGTCCAATCCCCTCTTTCTTTCATCCCCTTTTTCTTGGGGTTTGTGTGGAGGTTACCCCTTGCATTAGGGGTGGCTCATCTTCTCTTTCCTCACTTGTTTCTTCCACCTCATCATCCAATCCTATGTGGTATTTTAGGGGCAGTAGATTTTCCCTATTACACTTGCACTTAGAGCATCCTCAATGTATTTGGCATACTAGTCTATAGAAGTGGGACCCAAGCTCGAAGTCTATAGTTTTAGAAACCACCACAATGTGAGTTATTAAGGTGGGTCCCACAGTGGTAAAAAAATCATATTGAGTTACAGGAGTTAATGGAAAATATGTGTTTCAAATGGATGTTTGTTGCTTTCAAACCATGTGTAGATGACTTTTCAATGGTTGTAGATGCATAGGTGTAGAAGCATCTAGTTTAATTGGTAAATACACTCGTCAACTGGTCTCAGACACATCTATTGATGGACACAACTGGCAAGAGGCAGACACAATGCATAATGCTCTCCCTTTTCATAGCATGCAACCATTTCCTCAACACATCGGTTAAGGAAATCCTCTTGTATCCATAAGGAGCAAGAGGGGTGATGCAAATGTAACACAGCTCAACTCAACTCAACCAAAACCAAGATGAATAAGGTATCTCTTGTGGTATAGGATGTGAGCACCGCCGCGAGTTTACGGCAAGCAAATCTTAACTTCGGAATAGAAGTTGGGTGTTGGGAGCCATGAAGGCTAGAGCCACTCAAAGCTGGTGTATGGTTCGAGCTTACACAGTCGTGCTATTTGCCACCTTGGGTTAGGGATGTAGAGGAAAGTGGATGCGTCGGGCTGGGTCTGTCCCCTCCTTCAACCGAAGGCCGTTGAGGGGGGGGGGAGGGGTAGAATTCTAGTATACACAAAAATATGAAGATGCACTTAAACCCCCAAGTGGGTTTTGGTGATTAATGACAAGGTGGTTAAAGGGGACTAACGTGTTTATCAAGTTTATTCACAGGAGTTTAGTCCCAAAGCGAGTTGTGATGGCTAAGAATGCAAGGAGACCCCCCAATTCAAATGTTCCTAAGTGCAAAAATCATCGAAGGTGATTAGACTAGGTTTTTCCTTTCGAAATTGAGTTTAGGAAAAGCCGTACTATTAAGAGGGGTTTCAAGTGTGGTTCTAGGGTATACAAAGTGCTCTTAGTCTTATCCATGAGTCAAAAGATTTTTGGAATCATTTTTGAAAAATGATTTTCTCCCCGGGACAGAGAGGGCTACCCGGAGGTTATGGCCAGAACTTCCGGGCACCGTTTATTTGCAAAAATTTCCTAAGTGCTGCCCAGAAGTTCCTGGCACTTTTGCCCAGAACTTCCTGGAAAGTTTCCAGTTCAAACTTGTGAGTAACGGCTAGATGACGTCACCTAGCCGTTATATATATGGATTTCGTCCCCAGGTCACTTTTTGGTCATTCCACTTCTGTTCATTCATGTTCTAGGGTTTTTTAGCCACTCCCAAGCTTCCTTTGTTTCCTCCACTCAAATCTAGAGCCTATCTTGTGAGATTGTGATATTAGATGAGAGTGTAGGAGTGTTTTGGAGATGGCTTAAAGATTAGGTTTGATTGAGCACTTTGGATATCTTGTGGGCTGTCAGTTGGGCTTATTACTCTTGGAGATCTTCTCCTAGACGGTTAGGTGTCGCCTGTGAGCTTCTAAAGATCTTGTAGATGTCTTGGAAAAGTTTGTGAAGGTTTTCCTCACCTCCGCAAGGAAACGAGGTAAGTGAGTAAAGATTCTTGTGCTGAGTTTTTAGAGGTTGTCCTAGGTAGAGCAACTTGCACTTGTGGTCTTTTCTAGAAGAAATTTTGAGTTGGATCTTGGTGGTCACTCAATTCTAGAAAATGACCTAGAAGTGTTGAGTTGAAGGCTGTGGACCTCTTCTGGGATCTTTGCATAAGTGAGGCAAGGGGTTAATCGAGACCCGGCTCTTTGGAGCACCTCAACGGAGAGTAGGATTCGTCTGATCCGAACTTCGGGAAAAAATCGTCTTTGTCTCTCTTGTGCATGATCTTTGTGTGAATCTGCTGATATTCTGCGATCTTCATCTTATTCCTCTGTGTGCCTAAACTTCTCTTGCTAGGACCTATTTTTCATCTCAGTTTTAATTTATCTCAGCTGCCCGGAAGTTCCTGGCTCAAGAACTCCGGAAGTTCCTGGCTACTCATCATGCCCGGAAGTTCTGGTGTTCATCACCAGGAGGTTCCGGGCCCTGTTAATTTAACCGCTGCAATTGTTGAGAAAATTTCAGGAAAGCCAATTCACCCCCCTCTAGGCTACATCTCTGCACGTTCAATTGGTATCGGAGCGAGGTACTCTTGATTCAAGCTTCACCGCTTTGAGTGATCCACGATGTCGGACTTAGGGGGAAAGAACGGGGAAAATGGAAATGAAGATGAAGCAAGCAGCAAGGGAACTCCACCACCCAAGGGAGCTACTATACCTTTTGATTATAGCAAACTTACCATTCCTTCTCACAACTTCGTCTCCGTGCCTTCCGGGCGTGCTCCTCAATTTGATGGGACATATTATGCCGCTTGGAAGCACAAGATGAAGTTGCATCTAATCTCTTTGCATCCAAATATTTGGAAAGTTGTTTGTACAGGTATTGATATACCCCATGATGACATGGAGCTCACTTCGGAGCAAGAACAACTTATCCACCGCAATGCTCAAGCTTCTAATGCAATTCTCTTCGCCTTGAGTCCGGAGGAGTTCAACAAGATTGATGGACTAGTGGAGGCCAAGGAGATATGGGATACCTTGCAATTGGCTCATGAGGGATCACCCGCCGTTCGTGAGGCCAAGATTGAATTATTGGAAGAAAGGCTTGGAAGATTTGTGATGGATGACAAGGAGACACCACAAGAGATATATGATAGGATGATGATTCTTGTCAACAAGATTAAAGGACTTGGGAGTGAGGACATGACAAATCACTTTGTGGTCAAGAAACTTCTCCGTGCATTTGGTCCAAGAAATCCCACTCTTGTATCAATGATACGGGAAAGGAAAGACTTCAAGAGACTCACCCCAAGTGACATTCTTGGAAGAATTGTGTCTCATGAGATGCAAGAAGAGGAAGCTCGTGAAGTGAGACAAATGGTGAAGAATGCCGCCATGATTAAAAATCAAGAAGTTGCTTTGAAGGCAAAACAAGAAGAAATGGCTTTTATTGTCAAGATATTCAAGCACTTTCTTCGCAAGAGTGGCTATGGCAAAGGGAGGAAGGATGATGACAAGGGAAAGAGGCAATCAAGGAGAGCGTGCTTCAATTGTGGCGAATATGGCCACTTCATTGCCGATTGTCCCAAGTCAAATGAAGCTAAGGCTAAGGGAGGCAAGAAGAAGCCGGAGCATGCTCATGTGGCGGAGGCACACATGGCGGAAGTGTGGTACTCTGGAGATGAAGAAGATCCCGAGGTCAAGCCCAAGCCCAGGTCAAAAGACAAGGTTGAAGGAGAAGGTGGTGTTGCTACCGTTGCCTTCAAGTCATCCTCTTCAAGCAAGGAGCGTCTCTTCAACAACTTGAGTGATGACGACGACGACTCCTACCACTACTCTTGCTTCATGGCCCAAGGCTGTAAGGTGATGACACAAAAGCCCTCTCAAACTTCTCTTGATGTTGATTCTAGTGATGAGGAAAGTGATAATGAATTAGATGATGTGCTTAAGAGCTTTAGCAAACCCGCTATGCAACATTTGGCTAAGTTAATGAGAGCTTTGGATAGTAAAGAACAATCACTCGAAAGGCAAGAAGAATTGCTTATTCTTGAGAAGAAAAGAAACCTTACCTTAGAGGAGAGCTTAGCTAAAAAATGTGCTAAAAATGAACAACTTGCTAATGAGCTTAATTTGGCTAATGGTTCTTCAGCTAGCCTTAGGGATGTCAATGAAACTCTTCAAGAAAAATTTGCTAATTTAGACAAAAGTCATAAAGATCTTGAAGTTCGATTTGACACTCGTTGGAATAGCACCTCTCAACCAAATGTGGTTTCTAATTCTTCTAACCCTTCTACTAGCAATGGTTGTGCTAGGTGTTTCAATATTGATTTGAACTCTTATGCTACTAATATTGATGCTATGCAAGCTCTTAAGAAAGAGAATGAAAGGTTGGGCACATTGGTGAAATATGGATGTATGAAGACATACCATTCAAAAGATGCCCTTTACAAAACCATCACCGCTCATCCTAACAAGGATGGACACGGGCTCGGGTTTTCGGGTGGAAGTCCTGTGTCTAAGCGTGTGATGGTAAATGGGAAAGAATGCTTGATGTTTGTGAGAGAAGGTAAAGCACCACAAGCAAGTGAGGTGACTAGTCTTGTGAGCTGCCAGGGACCCGGAACATCCGGACAAACCGGGAGAAACTTCCGGGTGGGAGTCTCTGTCTCTCAAAAATTCCCACCAGGAAGTTCCGGCCAGTTTGCCAAGAAGTTCCGGGCCAATGGCCGTGCACAAGACATGACCGGAAGTTCCGGGCACAATGCCAGGAGGTTCCGGCCAGAGGGTCTTTACTATGATTCATATGTAATTTCCAAAAAATTCAAAGGGCAAAGTGGTTGCCTATTTTAATGGGAATTACAATGATGAGTACCGCACTTGTGTGTAGGTGCCAAAGGCTTTGGTAACTAACATCAAGGGACCCAAACTTAGACAAGTTTGGGTTCCTAAATCCCAAGCTTGATTTTCTTGTGTAGGCATACTCCTCCGGTGGTTCAAGTTGGGTTGTGGACAGTGGTTGCACCAATCATATGACTGGAGAGATGAGTATATTTACCAGTCTTGATGAGGAAAACGGAACTCGTGAGAATATTGTGTTTGGAGATGATGGTAAAGGAAAGATAATTGGTCTAGGTAAAATTGCCATCTCCAATAATCAATCTCTCTCTAATGTTCTTCTTGTCAATTCATTAAGCTACAATTTATTTATCCGTTTCTCAATTGTGTAAGTTGGGTTACAATTGCTTGTTTACCGATGAGGATGTGACCGTCTTTAGAAGGGATGACTCCTCCGTTGCATTGAAAGGCAAGTTGAAGGGTGATCTCTATCTTGTCGATTTCGATGTGGATAGAGTGAATCCGGAAGCTTGTTTAATTGCTAAATCCTCCATGGGTTGACTATGGCATCGTAGACTAGCCCATATTGGAATGCAGAATTTGGCAACTCTTCTAAAGGGGGAACACATCCTCGGGCTCACTAGTGTCACATTTGAGAAAGGTCGTGTGTGTAGTGCTTGCCAAGCCGGGAAATAAGTTGGGAATCCGCATCCTATCATGAACATCATGACTACAACACGCCCTCTTGAGCTTCTACATATGGATTTATTCGGGCCCGTAGCCTTCATAAGTATTGGAGGTAACAAGTATGGTTTTGTCATTGTTGATAATTTTTCCCGCTTCACTTGGGTGTATTTTCTCCATGACAAGAGTGAGGCTCAAGATGTCTTCAAGCGCTTCGCCAAGCAAGCCCAAAACCTCTATGATCTCACCATCAAGAGGGTACGAAGTGACAATGGAGGAGAATTCAAGAACACGCAAGTGGAGGAATTCCTTGATGAAGAGGGAATCAAGCATGAGTTCTCCGCCCCCTATGATCCTCCTCAAAATGGCATTGTTGAGAAGAAGAACCGAACTCTTATTGAAGCCGCAAGAGAAATGCTTGATGAGTACAAGACTTCGGATAGCTTTTGGACGGAGGCCGTGAGCACCACATGCCATGCCATCAATCGCCTCTACCTCCATAAGATTCTAAAGAAAACTTCATATGAGCTCTTGAGTGGTAAGAAACCTAATGTTTCATATTTTCATGTCTTTGCGAGCAAATGCTTTATTTTGAGTAAGAGGCCTCGCTCATCTAAGTTCTCACCTAAGGTGGATGAGGGATTCTTACTTGGCTATGAGTCAAATGCACATGCCTACCGTGTCTTCAACAAAACCTCCGGTATTGTTGAAGTTACAAGGGATGTGACATTTGACGAATCTAATGGCTCCCAAGGAGAGCAAGTTGTTGTACATGTTATAGATGATGCGGATCCTAGAGAAGCAATTGGTTCTAAGGCTATTGGAGACATACGACCAGTCGAGACGCAGGATGACCAAGAAGATAGGGATCAACCTTCGTCATCGACATCCAATAGCCCTACAACAAGTCAAGAGTCAGTTGACCCGGAAGTTCCGGGACCAGATGATCGGAACCTCCAGACCTCCCCAGGCCAGGAAGTTCCGGGTCCATCTGCCAGGAAGTTTCGGGCAGAGGACAGTCAAGGCTTGCCTACGACACAAGTGGATGGGATTGATGCCGTGGGCACTGTAGAGCATCCTGATCAGGCTCAGGTCTCCTCAGTGCACCATCCAAGAATACATCACACTGTCCAAAGAGATCATCCCGTCGACAACATACTTGGTGACATAAGAAAGGGGGTAACTACTCGTTCTCGTGTCGCTAACTTTTGTCAACACTATTCGTTCGTTTCTTCTTTGGAACCAACCAGGGTTGAAGATGCACTTGGTGATCCGGATTGGGTGATGGCTATGCAAGAGGAGTTGAATAACTTCACTCGCAACCAAGTATGGACATTGGTGGAGAGACCCGACCAAAATGTCATCGGCACCAAGTGGATCTTCCGCAACAAGCAAGATGAACATGGAGTGGTTGTAAGGAACAAAGCCCGGTTAATTGTGCAAGGGTTCACCCAAGTCGAGGGTCTCGATTTTGGTGAAACCTTCGCAGCCGTTGCTTGTCTTGAGTCAATCCGAATGCTTTTAGCCTATGCCGCTCACCATGATTTCAGGTTATATCAAATGGATGTCAAGAGCGCCTTTCTTAATGGACCCATCTCGGAGTTGGTCTATGTGGAGCAACCACCGGGGTTCGAGGATCCAAAGTTGCCAAACCATGTGTACAAGCTCCACAAAGCGCTCTACGGGCTCAAACAAGCCCCTAGAGTTTGGTATGAATGTCTCCGAGATTTTCTTTTGAAAAATGGTTTTGAAATTGGGAATACGTACACTACTCTCTTCACCAAAAAGTTTGAAAATGATTTATTCATTTGCCAAATTTATGTCGATGACATAATATTTGGTTCTACTAATGCCTCTTTTTGTGAAGAATTTAGTAGCATCATGGCTAAAAGGTTCGAGATGTCTATAATGGGTGAGCTAACCTTCTTCCTCGGGCTACAAGTCAAGCAAGCACAAGAAGGTACTTTCATCTCTCAAACCAAGTACGTGAAGGACATTCTCAAGAAGTTTGAAATGGAAGATGCCAAACCCATCAAGACTCCCATGCCTACCAATGGTCACCTTGATCTTGATGAAAATGGTAAATGTGTGGACCAAAAGGTATATCGCTCCATGATAGGATCCTTGCTTTACTTATGTGCATCTCGTCCCGATATCTTGCTTAGTGTTTGCATGTGTGCTCGCTTTCAAGCGGAGCCTAAAGAGTGCCATTTGATTGCCGTCAAGAGAATTCTAAGATATTTAGTTCATACTCCTAATCTTGGCTTGTGGTATCCTAAGGGTTGTGACTTTGAGCTTTTGGGCTATTCCGATTCGGATTACGCCGGGTGTAAGGTTGATAGAAAAAGCACAACCGGGACTTGCCAATTTCTTGGGCGGTCCCTTGTTTCTTGGTCCTCCAAGAAGCAAAATTCCATTGCGTTATCCACCACCGAAGCCGAATATGTCGCCGCCGGTTCTTGTTGTGCCCAACTCCTTTGGATGAAACAAACTCTAAAAGACTTTGGCTACAACTTCACCAAGATCCCACTCCTATGTGACAATGAGAGTGCCATCAAAATAGCCAATAATCCCGTTCAACACTCTCGAACCAAACACATAGATATTCGCCACCACTTTTTGAGAGATCATGAAACCAAAGGAGACATATTCCTTACCCATGTAAGAACCGAGAGCCAATTAGCCGACATTTTCACCAAGCCTTTAGATGAGAAAAGATTTTGCGAGCTTAGGAGTGAGCTCAATATCTTAGATTCTCGCAACATTAAGTGATGGGTAGTTGGCTAATTTATAGCCAAACATGTATCACTAAAATGTAAATTAAAAAAATGAGCTTTTGTGTCTTGAGATCACTTCTTGGTTGAAGATGGTCTTGCTACCAGGAATAAAACTCAAACATTCCCCCCTTTATCCAAAAACCCCATTTGTGAAAAATTTTGCAAAATCCTTTGTGTGCCTTTTATTGCGAAAATTTGGTTTTTATCCCCTTCTTGTGGTGTATATTGACCATTGTTATATAATGTTGATTGTTGGCTGGTCATATGCATCATAAGTCTCTGCAGGTCCATAGTTCTCTATTTCCCCTCATTGAATTCTCATCTTCTCCTTGTTTTTGGGCCTGACTGCCCTTTATCTGTCAGGCCGGAAGTTCCGGGCCTCCCTGTCCGTAACCTCCGGGTGTCGGGGAGTATATATTCTCAGGGGGAGTTAGAAACCCTAGTCTCTCTCCTCATTCTTCTCCCTCCCCGACACCAGCCCTAGCCGCCGCTACAGTGCCCCGAGTGGTGATTTTCTCTTCCCTCCAATCAAATTCGATTATTCTCTGTGGATTTATCTACATTGGTGGCTAGGAGGTTCTTTCTGTGATCGATTCGCAGTTTCCTCTCTCAATTTAGCACTTTTGATCTTCTCTTTTGGTTCGTCATGTTTTTGCCCCGATCTCTAAATCTGTGAACCTAGGGAGAAAACCACTTGGATAGTCTTGTTTCTGCTACCTTGTAGATCACCGATCTATAGGATTTGTTCACATGCACTGGCTATTTTTGAAACCTCTGTTCCTCTTTTTTGCCGGCCGGAAGTTCCGGTGTTCTTGCACCCGGAACCTTCGGGTGCTGTCCAGCCAGTCTGCCATTCTTGATTCTCTCAAATTTTGCCTAACTACTGCACTCCAATTTGTTGATT